CATGTTCCTTGCTGTCCCGAGAAATTCTCTCCTCCCTTGTCAAGGCCTGGCAAAGCTGGTGACAGCAGCCAATAGCTGGAGTCACGCTACACCAGCTTTATGTACAGCAGGAAAAAGCTCTGCACCTCGGGAAAGGACAGTGGCATTCACAGCAGCTGCCCTGCACAGGGAGCTGCAGTGTGCCCAGGGATCAGTTTTCCTAGGAGCACTGACAGCCTGGGCTTCAGCCAAAGCCCCTGCAGGGGGGGAAGACTTCACTTGGATTCCTGCCCGGGGGCAGGGGCACCCAGCAGCTGCTTCAGGGCTGTGCCTCAACCCAGAATGTGCCTGGGCCCATCACACACAGGGAAGAAAGTTGCAGTATCAGCTTCTGAACACATCCCACACTCCCTGTTTCACAGCTGACATTCCAGAGGAACAAAAGAGGCCCCTGCTGGTCCCCATTGGAATCTTTGGAGACCTCAAAATCCTCTCCTGGGCAAACCAAACAGGTTTGCTAAACCCTGTGACTCAGCTGAAGCAAACTGCCAGCCTGACTCCCTGAGCTCGGCCCCAGAGGAAGCTGCAGCTGCCCCGTCCATCCCATCACATCTCCACTCCCACCCTTCTCCTTGCTGGAGCCCCTGCCTGCCCTGGGGGCCAAAGGCAGCACAAGGAGAACTCCCTGCTGCAAGTTTCCTCTTCCCATGGCAGAGGGTAAGGTTTGAAATACAGGCAAAGGCTTTGTGAATGCAGGCTCAGAGAGAGCAAAGGTAAAAGGAAACATTCCTCCTCAGGGATGAGGCCCTGCCCCACCTGCTTCTCTTCAGGGGCTCTCCTGAAACCACCACTGGCCAGGACCCTGCGAGCGAGCCAAGAGTGCCCCCAACACGTACCTTTTCATGCCACTGGAGTAATATTGCACTGCTGTTTTCTGTTGGCTTTTCAAATCCTTTATAAATGTACTTCATTAACAAATCAACACCGTTTCTGTCTAAGGAATTCACCGCTTGTTCTATTTCACTGCTTTTAAAAGATGTGAGGACTTTAAGCATCGTTCCCTGCGCCTGCTCCTGGGAAGACAAGGCAAAGAGAGAAATGTGAGGACGAGAACAGCTGGAAACGATCCCAAGACTCGTGTTTGGCAAGAGGTGGCCACGCTCCAGGCTGGGTTGTCTGGGTGAGCGCGGTGAGCAGACCTGGGGTTAGCGGAGGAAGGGTGAACACGGCGGGATGCCCGTGCCAGCACGCTCAGGGCTGTGCCGGCAGCAGCGGCGCCGCTCAGACCGGCGGGGCGCCGCTCAGACCGGCGGGGCGCCGCTGTCCCCCCCGGCCCGTACCTTCACGGCCTGGCTCCGGCTGCTGCCCGGGGAGCTGCGGATGGCGGCGTGGAAGGCGCGGAGCGCCTCGCCCGTGCGGCGGCGGTCAAGGACTCAAACGGGACCTGCGTGCGCGGGACCGCAGCGCGGCTCCGCCCCGGCCGCTCCCCGGGACCCCCGGGACCCCCGGCCCAAAGGATATTGCCTGAGCAGTGCCTCCACCTCGGGGCCGGCATCGGGCTCGGCCGCCGCCGCCTCCTCGGGCTCCTCCACGAAGCGGTTCTCGTCGTACTGGTCGATGTCGAGGCGGCGGAAGCGGGACGAGAGCGTGCTCCGCGCCATCGCCGCCGCCCGGCCCCGGCGGAAGCGGCGGCGGAACCGGAACGCGCGGCGCCGCCCCGCCCCGCCCGGAAAAACAGCGCAGCCCGGGAAAATCCCAACCAGCCTTTAATGTACGCGTCCCGCCGCTGCAGCGCTCGCGGCTCCGGCCGGGATCCCGCGCAGAACGGACAGACCGGGAACGCGGAACAGCCCTTGGAGCGCTTTATTGGGATCCACGTAACACTCGGAAAACGCTGGCTCGGTCCTGCGCCGTGAACGCAGCACGGGCAGCCCCGGCCCCGCCGCACGCCGCGCGCTGACTTTGCTGCTGAAATTTCTTAAAACTTAGCAAAAACAAAAAGTGAACAAGAGACGGGCCCGAGCGGCTCCCGGAGCGTGGTGGTTAAAGGAATCGGTTCATCTAACCCAGGACTAGGCGAGGACTACATGCAGTAGTACAAATCTCAAGGACATATTACAAATACTCTGAAATTAATCTAGGGGCGAGGGAAAAAAAAACTTGCTACAGACACCATAATACACAATAAATTTAGATAATTTAAAAATAAAAAAGGCAAGAGGCAGCATTTCAGCAGCAAAGTGCTCAATAAAAAGTATATTGAAAAGGGGCAGGACAGGGAGAGGTGAGAGCAGGCGGGCGAGGGCTCAGAGGAAGTACGGCGTGGTTGTCCTGGGAGGAATGACACGCTCTGAGTCTGGAACTGCGCGGAATAACTTTGGTTCTCTTGTATTTACATCTTTAAAGACCATGATGGAGGCGATGTTCCCGCAGCGGTAGCAGTAGTTGGGAGCTGACCATACCGTTACCAACTTCTCATCAAACATGAATTTGTATCCTTCGTGGACGAGCTGGTGCGCTCTGCAGATCAGCTTCAGGTTGTTGATGTGAACAAACTGCAAGGGAAGGGGAAAATCAGCGTGGCCCGAGCGGCTGCTGCCCACACCACGTCTGCTCCTGGCCTGACCGCACACAGCAGCACGGAGAACACAACAGGAGGAGTGAGAGCACCGAGAAACCCCTGTGAAACCCCTGTAAAACACGGCTGGCGACACCCGAGCTCTGAGGAACAGCATGAGTCCCGGGGCTGTGCTGTCCCCAGGCTCAAGCCTTCCTAACATGCTGTGCCAGGGCCACACGACAACGCAGTTGAATGTGGCCAGGTCAGAGCCTGCCAAGGCCAGTGTGTAGAGCCCTGAGGAGTCTGCTCAGCACAGACACAATAAAATTAACTCAAAAATTGCTTAAAAAATGGTATTCTTCTCCTAGATCCTTAGGAAACCATTCCATAGACAGCCCAGGAACACAAGTGAGTCCCACCACATCAGACTTTTCAAAAGCAAGATAGGCATTAGTACATCTGGCAGTTACATTTGTGCTTTTAGGTTGAAGTGGCTCATTTTTTCCATCTGGCACAAGCCACGAGTTACTGGCAGAGGCGTGACGGGGGAGTTTGGTGTCCTGCAGTGCCCTGGGTGCACTCAGCACCACCCTGAGCTGAGCCCGTGGCTCCCCCATCCCCACCCCGGGCTGCGTGGCCCCGAGCAGCAGCGTTACCTCGTTGGTGACCTTGGCCCCGAAGAGCCAGCCCGCCCCGCGCGGGCTGATGGCCCACGTGTCCACGTCCTCCGGGTCCGACCACACCAGGTCGCAGAAAGCGCCTTTGTGAGGGATTTCCTGGTTCCGCTCAATGGTCCGGATCTGGTCCAGGGTCTTGATGTCTGGGGAGAGGCCTCCGTGCACGCACAGGATCTGCTCGTCTATTAGCTGCAGGGAGGTGACACGTGCACAGAGCCCTCAGCAGCGCTGCCGGGGAGCTGCAGCTCAGCCTGCAGCGCCTGCCAGGACCCCACCGCTGCCGGCCTGGCCTCTGCACTTACAGCTGCTATCGTGAGCATGTCGAAAACTTTGGTGCAGTACCTCCAGGCGTTGGCGTTCCCGTATTTGGTTTGGCACTCATCTGTTGGAGAGAACGGGTTTGTTCCTCTTGGATCTCGGGGAAACACTGACGGCAGAACCTGCATGCTCAGCTGTGTCACATGAGCTCTGTGCTGGGTCCTGCTGCTGCCCAGAACCAGCACCAGCAGCAGGGAGCAAGAACCTCACGCTCTGCCTGTGCCACTGAACGTGGCACAACACAAGCAGAAACCCCACGTGCCAGAGGAAAAGAGCAGCGAGATCTGCCTCAGACACGTTCCATTTCAGAAGCACCGTGACCTTGTCACCAGTAACAAGCTGCAGCCCGTGTCCCAGCCAGCCCCGAGAGCCCCGGCCCCGTGTCGGTGCCAGCGTGCTTCCCGGGCAGGACTCACCGTAGAACCCGTACACCTGGGTGATCTGCCGGCTCTCGTGGTTGCCTCGCAGCAGCGTGATGCGGTCAGGCCACTTGGCTTTTAGTGCAAGCAGGTATGTGAACGTCTCGAGGCTGTAATACCCTCGGTCTACAAAGTCCCCCTGGAGGCAGAGACGGCGGCACTTGGAGCGACAGTCACACGGGAAAGTGCCCGGTGACAGATCCGCCCCCAGGTCCTCAGTGCCACAAGAACCCGGCGCTGCAGGGCAGGGGATCTGCGGGACCCGCGGGGCTCTCCTCCCCTCACCGCTGTCCTGAGCTGACCCGGGACAGCCTGGCAGGGCGGGATGCTCTGCCTCACCCCCGGGCTCCCAGCAGCACAACTGGGGGCAGGAGCCAGCAGCGGCCCCGGGACTCGGGAGCCCCTCGGGACTTCCCCCCAGCCCTGTCAAACCCGGCGCGGCCCGGCCGCACCTACCATGAAGATATAGTTGGTGTCGGGAACCTGCCCGCCGGTCCGGAACAGCTCGCACAGGTCATAGAACTGCGGGGGGAGAGCGGCGTGAGGGGGCACCGGGCACCGGCACCGGCCCCGGCCCGGGGCTGCACCGGGAGCGGCCCGGCCCGGCCTTACCTGCCCGTGGATGTCCCCGCAGACGGTGACGGGCGTAGAGACGGGCTGGACGTTGGACTCCTCCAGCAGCAGGTCACAAACATAGTCACAGAGGCGCTACGGGAGGAGCGGGGCAGGGTCGGGGTCAGCGCCGGGACCACCGGCACCGCCCGCTCCGGCCCGCCCGGCAGCGCCCACCCCGGCCCCAGCCCGCCCCGGCTGGCCCCGGCTGGCCCCGGCCCGCCGCCGCGGCCGCACCTTGAGGTCGTTCTCGGGCAGGTACTTGCAGAGCCGCGCGATCTCCACGTACTTGTCCAGGTCCAGCGGCGCCATCTTGGCTCGGGCTCGGGCACGGCGGGCCCCGCCCGCCACTTCCGGCCGGCGGAGCGCGCCGCGGGCGCGGGCGGAAGCGCGGGGCACTTCCGGCGGCACTTCCGGCCGGGCCCGGCAGCGGCCATGGCGCCGTGGGCGCTGCCGCTGCTGCAGCCGGGGCGGCGGCCGCGCCCGGGACGGTGGTGAGCGCGGCGGGCACGGCGGGGGCACGGCGGGGGTGATGAGGGCACAGCGCTGAGCGCGGCGGGCATGGCGGGGGTGCTGGGGGCGCGGCGGGGGCACGGCGCTGAGCGGCCGGGGGAACCGGCGGGCCCCGGGCCGGCCCAGCCCGCGCTGAGCGCCGCCCTCGCCCCGCAGGTACCGGCTAAGCCCTTGCGGGGAGCGGCCCAGCGGCCGCGTGGGACTCGGCTGCCTCCTCCTCCCCGGCCGCGTCCTGCTGCTGGCCGGTGCCGACCCCGCCGGCGCCTTCGCGGACGCGCACTTCCTGGAGCTGGGTGAGGGCCGGGCCGGGCCGGGGCTGGAACTGGGACCGGGACCGGGACCGATCGCCTGTCCCCTCCACAGCCCCGCTGCGCTGGGTCCCCGCCGGCTGGCGCGGGCTGAGGCCGCGCTACGAGCACGCCACGTTCCTGCCCGCCGGCCGCGCCCCGCGCCTCTGGGTGTTCGGCGGAGCCCACCCTGCCGGGAACCGCAGCTGCGTTCAGGCGCTGGACCCCGGTGAGTGCCCCGGAGCCCGGAGCGGGGCTGCCGGACGGGCTGGGCCTCTGCTCCCGCGATGGTTGCTCGGTTAATCGAATGTCTTCACTAGAAACAGGAACGTGGGAGAGCCCTGCAGTGAGGGGGGAGCAGCCACAACCTCGCACGTTCCACTCGTCCTCGGCGGCCGTCGGGGCGCGGCTGTTCGTGTTCGGCGGTGGAGACAAGGGGGCAGAGCCGGTGAAAGACCAGCGGCTGCACATGTTCGACACAGGTACCTCCCACCTGCGGGATGGAGCTCTGGGCTGTGTCAGGGGGCTGCGATTGTTGTCTGGGGGCGAGTACCACGGGATGGTGGCTGTTCTTCCTTTGACAGGCCCTTATGTTCGTGTGCTCACTGGGAATTCAGACCTGCTTGCTGGTCTGTAGAATTTCCGGAGTTTTCTTCCTGATGCACATGCACTCCCATTTTTAGCCACCCTGAGCTGGTCCCAGCCTGAGACTCGTGGTGATCCCCCTTCTCCTCGGCACGGACATGCCGTGGTTGCAGTTGGGACCAAACTCTTCATCCACGGGGGTTTAGCTGGAGATGTTTTTTACAATGACCTGTTCTGCATTGATACCAGTAAGTGTGGATGGAGGTACTGCAGCACCTGTGAGCGAAGTGCTTTGATTTGGGCTGACATTTTTTCCTGAAATACTAGTTCTTAAGTGCTTTAAGTATTACCTTCTTTGTTTAAATCAATGAAATGTGTGGGGTTTGTGTAATGCATAACTGCAGAGGTGTTGTTTTCTGCATCAGCTGACTTGAGATGGGAGAAGATCCCGGCCACCGGGGATGTCCCGGGAGGACGGGCATCCCACTCCTCGGCAGCGTTCCAGGAGCACTTGTACATTTTTGGTGGAATAGGTCCAGATGGGCCACTGGACACCACGTACAAGTATCACACAGGTAGGAGGCTGCTCTCAGTGGTGCCAGGGTAGGTGCCAGGCACTGAAGTTACACTGCTGCAGGACTGAATGCTCAGAACTGTTTTAATTCATGGTGTCACTGTCTGCTGTGTGATGTTTAAAGCTGTGACTGTATCTTTGCACTGCAGGAAGGCAGCACTGGACACTCCTGCAGTTTGAATCTCCCCTGCCCAGCGGGAGGCTGGACCATGCCATGTGTGTCATTCCCTGGCAGGCTGGGGCACAAGGGGACACAGGAGACAGCCCAGCTGGGACAGAGGCACCTGTGGCAGCAGGGGACAGAGCTCAGGGCCTGCGAGAGGACTGTGCTGGCAGCTCTGTCCATCTGCTGTTCGTGTTTGGGGGCATGGACACTCAGGGGCAGATTCACAGGGAGTGCCTGGTCACGCTCATCGAGTAATTCCCCACAGCACCAGCCTTGGGCCCCGGGGTTCATTCTGTCACCCTGGCACGGTGCTGGCACTCCTGAGGGACAGGGGCTCTGCCTGAACACAGTCCTGCTGCAGCCCCAGCCAGGGAATGTGGCAGCAGCCAAGGTGTTTTAAAGGCACTGCTGGAGCTGGCACAAGAAAAGGTCATTGTGAATTTAACTAATCCCATGGATTGGATAAGGATCAGTTAAATAAAGAGACCAAATTTCAGTTAGGCTTCTTTTTTTTCTAAGAACCTTTATTAGGTGTAAATTACTATTCAGTCTTCAGAAAACTGGTCTGTTTCATATGACACTTTATTAAAAGCTCTGAAGCTTTAATACTGCAGGAAAACATAATTAAGCCAAGCTCCTCTCTCGGTGCTGGGCACCACCACTACTGCAGGCAATGGGTTCTGGTGGATAACCTCCCTCTCCCAGCTCAATAAAAGCTGCCCCTTCAGGCAGCTCGGGCTTGATTCCCCTTCCTTATCAGGATGTGTTGTAGAACTGCAGTGAGGTCTAAGTCCACCTGCAGAAACTGAATCCCAGCTCACCCCAAGGCAGCAGAGGCCCAGCTCCTGCTTTCAAACCTCCCACTGTCCACAAGCCCATGAAAGGTGACTTGAGAGGGTGAGCTGCACTCTATCCTTCTTTAGGGTTAGTCCAGATCCTGGCTGGAGCTGGGGAATGGAGATCACACAACCAGAACAGAGTCCAGTGTAAATAACAAATTTATTGTGGTCACTCCAGGTAGAAAAGCTCTACACCAAGTTCACATGACCAGGTTGTTAAATAGAATGTTCCACTGCCAATACTTCTAAACCCACATTTACACTCCCACCCCACTCCCCATCCCAGACATCGAGCAACTGCTAACGAAAAGCAGGATACAGCCACGTTGGGCTAGCGGTTCCAGCTCCACTCACGAGTGAAGATTCAAAGTTACATTCCAAATTAAGAGTTCAATATTTTAAACAAGTGTTCCTGAGTCCAATATATACACACACCACATTCGGAGACGCCGGTATCTACAACTCATCCTTCTCTGCTGCCTCCTCCTCGCCGGGCGGGGGGCCGGCGCTGCCGTACAGCTTGCTAACGATGGGCTGAACCACCTCCTCCAGCTCCTTCTTCTGTGCTTTGAAATCTTCTATGTCCCCATCCTGATGGCTTTCCAGCCACTCAATCTTTTCCTCCACTGCTTTCTCTATTGTTTCCTTGTCCTCAGAGGAGAGCTTCCCACCCAGCTTCTCCTTGTCCCCGATCTGATTCTTCAGGGAATAGGCGTAGCTTTCCAGCTCATTCCGGGCATCGATGCGTTCCTTCAGCTTCTTGTCTTCCTCAGCAAACTTCTCAGCATCGTTCACCATCCTCTCGATCTCCTCTGGGGTCAGCCGGTTCTGATCGTTGGTGATCGTGATCTTGTTCTTGTTGCCGGTGCCCTTGTCCTCGGCCGTGACACGGAGGATCCCGTTCACATCTATTTCAAAGGTGACCTCGATCTGGGGGACGCCACGGGGGGCAGGGGGGATTCCCGTGAGATCAAAGGTGCCCAGGAGATGGTTGTCCTTGGTCAGGGGACGTTCACCTGTGAGAAACAATGAGACAGGGTTATACTTTCCTTCCCAGCTGTGGCCTGTACTTTGTGAAACCGTGAGTGACACAGTTCCTGAGCAAAGTACTTACAGCCTTTGTGACAATCACAAACAAGAATGAAAACCCTACAGCAGACAGACTGCAGCTGTCACACGGGCCAGCACAGTTGACACCCACCTTCATAGACCTTGATGGTCACAGTTGGCTGGTTGTCAGAGGCTGTCGAGAAGATCTGAGACTTCTTTGTGGGAACAACGGTGTTTCTTGGGATCAGCTTGGTCATGACACCTCCAACGGTCTCAATGCCAAGAGTCAGGGGACAGACATCGAGCAACACCAAGTCACCTGGAACAGATCAAAGGCAAGACGTGATGCAACTTCAACACCAAACACAACACTGCAGACAGCATCCTGAGGCCTCAGAGGCACAGAGCTCCAAGGACTGGGAAAGATCCAAGTTTGTCTGCATTTGCTGGTCAATGCCCAACAGCCAGTGTTGAGTCAGTGAAGGTGTCATTACCTGTATCCTGGTCCCCAGAGAGCACCCCGGCCTGGACAGCTGCACCATAGGCCACAGCCTCATCTGGGTTAATGCCACGAGAAGGCTCCTTCCCATTGAAGAACTCTTTAACGAGCTGCTGGATTTTGGGGATGCGAGTCGATCCACCAACCAGGACAATCTCGTCAATGTCAGACTTCTTCAGGTCAGAATCCTCCAGAACTTTCTGAACAGGCTTCATAGTGGAACGAAACAGGTCCTACAAAGACAAAACCCCAAGGGTTGTGAGACTGTAGCACGCCTTATTCTGCAGCCCCAAAGGTACAACATACACCACAGAGTAAAGTAACCACTACAGAGCAGAGATGTCAAACTGCCTGAGGCCCAGCTCCCTGGCAGGCAACAGCTGCCTGCTTACAGAGTTATTTATACTCCAAAGTGCAATGTTGCAGCATGAGATGCTGCACATTCCCCAGTCCCAATCCAGAGCTGAGCCTGTGTAACTTTACCTTTCTGAACTTACCATGTTCAGCTCCTCAAACTTGGCTCGAGTGAGTGTCTCTGAAAAATCTTCTCCTTCAAAGAAGGACTCTATTTCAATCCTGGCCTGGTGCTGAGATGACAAAGCTCGCTTGGCCTTCTCCACCTCCCGCCTCAGCTTCTGCACAGCTCTGTTATCCTTCCTAACATCTTTGCCAGTCTTCTTCTTGTAGAGCTTGATGAAATGCTCCATAACACGCTGGTCAAAGTCTTCTCCACCCAGGTGAGTGTCCCCATTAGTAGCCACCACTTCAAAGACTCCGTTGTCAATTGTGAGGAGGGACACATCAAAAGTTCCACCGCCCAGGTCGAATACAAGGATGTTCTTCTCTCCCTCTCTCTTGTCCAGTCCATAAGCAATGGCAGCAGCTGTTCTGTACAGAGAAGAGGCTGTCAGGGCTGGGGGTGCCAGCCCACAGCTCCCCTGGGGCAGGATGGGGTGAGGTACTCACGGCTCGTTGATGATCCGCATCACGTTGAGCCCCGCGATGGTGCCGGCGTCCTTGGTGGCCTGGCGCTGGGCATCATTGAAGTAGGCTGGCACCGTGACAACAGCATGGGTCACCTGAGCAGGGAGGGACAGCTTGGTTAGAGAAATGACAGAAAAAACAGTCTGTAAGCAGTACCAGCCACTCTGAGCAGTGCTGGGAACGAGCAGCCCATCTTTAGAGGAGAAGAGCCAGCAGCAGCTTAGCCCATCGAGCAGGGCTGCTGATGGGGTCTGCAGCACTGACTGCGGTTTGGGATAGCCAGGTCAGTCCTGGAGTAGCCTTCCCTTCTCCCATCTCCTAAAGCTGCCTCTCAAACTTGTTCCCAGTGTTTCCTGTACACTTACTTTCTTCCCCAAGTAAGCCTCTGCGGTTTCCTTCATCTTTGTCAGAACCATTGCAGAAATTTCTTCAGGAGCAAATGTTTTTGTCTGTCCACCTCCAACATCAACCTGAATATGAGGCTTAGCTTTCTTCTCAACCACCTGAAAACAAAAGATACTGTACTATTCAACTATTCCAACTTGTTCCCATGGTTCTTTCTAAATATCAAGCAAAACCTCTATGAGAGGCATAATCTGAGTGCAGCTAACAGCAGGAACTGTTTACACACCAATTCTCCTGGGGGGGTCTATGAGGATATGCCTCTTCTGCCCAAAACCGCAGGTCCTCCCCCTCCAGCCCCCCGACCTGTGCACTCGGGGCCCACCTTGAAGGGCAGGTACTTGATGTCCTGCTGCACCGAGGGGTCGTTCCAGGTGCGGCCGATGAGCCGCTTGGCATCGAACACGGTGTTCTCAGGGTTGGATGTGAGCTGGTTCTTGGCAGCATCTCCGATCAGGCGCTCCCCCTCGGGGGTGAAGGCCACATAGGACGGCGTGATGCGGTTCCCCTGGTCATTGGCGATGATTTCCACGCGCCCGTTCTTGAACACGCCCACGCTGGGTTGGGGGGGGAGCGGAACGGTCAGGCGGGGCCGCGGCCTGCACACATCCCCCGCACCCCGCCGCCCGTTCCGCTCCTCCCCGCGCCCCCCGCCGCCCCGGCCGGGCCCGAGCGCTGCCCGCCAGCCCGGCCTGCCCCGTACCAGGAGTAGGTGGTGCCCAGGTCGATGCCCACCACCGTGCCCACGTCCTCCTTCTTCTCCTCGTCGTCCGCCCGGACGGCGCCCAGCGCCAGCAGCATCAGCAGCAGAAGCCTCATACCGACCGCTCACCTACCGAGAGCCCGCCGGTTACACAACGGAGGCGCCACGTGCTCGGCCGCCCCCCGCGCCGCAGCCCCCCAGCCCCCGCCGTGCGGAGTCACCCCCCGTCCCCGCCCGCTCTTTCCGTGCCCCTCGCCGCCATCCCCCCTCACGGGCCCAGCCCCGCTCGGCCCCGGCCGCGCCCGGCCCTCACCGTTCAAAGCGCCGCGCCCCGACCGCCGCCAGGCCGCGCCGCCCGTCCTTTTATACCTTCCGTTACCCCTTCGTGGAGCCTCCCCATTGGCTGCCGCGCCCTCGCTGGAGCCTCTCCATTGGCCGGCTGCGACCAAGCTGGCCTCCCGCGATTGGCGAGCGCCGCGCGCCCGCTCCGCCGCGCCCGGCGCGCCCCCCTCGCGCCGCCCCATTGGTTGCACCCGCCGGCCGCGGCCACAGAGAAGCGTGAGCCAAGCGGAGCGTCCCCATTGGCTGGGCGGGACCACGGCCGCGGGGTGGGGGGGCACTTCTGGAAGTTTCCATGGTTACCGGCCCGGGGGATAGCCCGGCGGTGGGGGGGGGAATCCCGCCGCTCCCGGGGGCACCGGGGGTACGGGCGGTACCGGGGCAGTGCCGGGAGGGACGTGCGGGGACGCTGGAGCCCGGCGGCACCACGGCCGGGCTGTGCGGGCAGAGCCCCGTCCCGCCCCGTCGGGGCTGAGGTGACCCGCGTGTGCCCCGCGCCCGAGGCGGCACCGGGACCCGTCCCGCCCCGCCGCTGCCCCGCCATGGCGCGACACCCGGCCCCGCACGCACAGGCCGGGGCCGGGCGGAGCCGGGGCTGACGGCCGAGCGTCGCTCCCGGAGCGGCCCCGGCTCCGCCTCGCCCGGCCCCGCCGCCCGTCCGGCCCCGGGACTACAAGTCCCA